TTATTATTATTATTATTATTATTATACTTTGAAATTTCATTTTTAGTATCTGAAGTTTGGTGGTATTATTAATGTCTGATGTTCTGTCATAATTTTTTAATGAAAAAAAAATGGCAATAATAACTTTTTATTTTTAATTTTAAAAAAGATACAAGCGAGCTGACAAAATACATCATGGAGATAATCAATTTGAACATAAAGGAAAGAGCAGCTGGATGGTGTTCATGGAGAGCAGCAGAAAAAAAATGATACTAAGACAGATTTTAAGGTATTTTAAATAATAAAAATTATTCAACTTCTGTACAATGTTTTTTTTATTTTTTTAATTATGTATCATCACAATAATGCTTTATAAATCACATCGCATGTTCTTAAATACAGTATATAAAATATTGTATTTTCATTGATATCCGTTTTCGTTATATTGTTGGGAGACCTTTAGCAAGCGCCAGTCTTCCTAAGCATTAACTTGGTTGTCCATTTTTAAATGTTGCCCCTTTTTTTCAATGTATGGTGTTTATTTTTTTTAATAATAATAATAATAATAATAATAATAATAAAACTGTTATGCCATTTGTACCACATCGAAACCAAGGGAAAAGTGAACGCACAATTTAATTAACACTTAAAATATTTTAATTTCCATTGCCTAGAATGAATTATATTGTTATGTATTGCCTAATTAAAATATATTTATATTTATCTTTTCAGCTTCTTTAATTGTTACGACGCAGAATGAAAATCAGATACTATGGTGAGATATGTTTACATCTATCCGGTTTTAATCGATATGCAAGCTACATGGAAACAGATGAACTCGTCATTTTGTCTCTGCATCCCTGCTGTTTCAGACAGTTTTGTTTAGCATTCTTGTTTGTATTTTTGAAGAGACCTGGGACTTTCAGATGATGGGAAATTTATATTTTCTCTGAATCAAATTACTATTGAGAACAGATTGTTTAAACCCCCATACCCTTTTTATGAAAATAAATTTACACACTAATTACTGCACATATTAACACAAAGCGCAATAACATATTTTGTTGTGCAGTACTATAATTTAGTGTGAATATATTGAATTTTCTACTTATAAAGTGCAATAGCAATTTGTACAAAAATAACTGTCAGTATTAACCTGATTGCATACCTTTAATTTGGATTCCTGATGATGACATAATTAATATCAAAGTATTGAATCCCTAAACTTTGAGTATGTATTATTCTATCTGTATCTGAGATTAATCAGTGGATTCGGTTTAATTTGGATTCTTGTATTTTTTAAAGGTTTATTTTGTTCATTAAAAATATAACATGTAGAACATAATGTTTGTGTCTATTTGTAAACTGAGGTGTAAGAAGAATGATGATTGTAAATGATACTGGCTATTTTCACAGATGAATATTGGATCATTGTTTACATTTATTTATATTTTAAATTTTCTTTATTTTAGAGCCATCCTAATTACTGTCATCAAAATATAAAATGTTATTCAATGCAGGCCTGTATTTATCATATATAAGCTGAATAAAAATAATATATATATATTATACTTTTAACATTTAACAACATTAATGCAGCAAAGCCTATCCAAAACCCCAATAAAATCTAGGCCTCAATCTAGGCCTAGCGCATGTATAAACAACGCGTAAAATTGCGCGTATGAGCCCGTGGAGTTGTCAAGAACGCCTAGTAAAGCCAAAATATTTGCTGTTTTCAACCAAATTTTTTTTTAAATCGGAAGAAGTTGTCAGGCCAATATTTCACGAATACAAGAACAGACACTGATTGTTCATTGGCGACCAACGCTAACATCCAGAAAAATTGCACAATTTTGTAAAACGACGATAATTACGACCATGTTTAGCGATATTAACATTTACGGAGTTAGGGCGTTGTTTGTTTACATTTTTACTGTAGACCGGACTTACTTTTCTTGTTAAAATTCATGATTTTTATATAAATTCATGCATCACAAAAATTTTGTTTAGTAGCTGATATAATAATTAGACAAACAGAACATGAATGGGGGGATATTATACTCATATATTATTTTTAGCACAATTCTACTATGTACCAAAAAATGCAGTTCCGCTAGGCTCGCACGATCCCAATCGCGACATGAGTGTGTTCGTTCGAGGCTTGCGGTGCGTAAATATATGAAAGGCGCGTTGAAAACACTTATTGCCCCAATATAGTGCGTATGAAACCGCTGAGCAAAGTGCGAGCCAGCGTGTTATTTGATCACAAGAGCTAGACATCACAAGTGTGAGCTGGCGAGCCATGACGTCACGACAATAGACACGAGACGTTAACGAGTTGTGCGAGGTATCGGCTGAGATTTGTGGAGTACAATTCAAAAAACAACTATAGGTCTAATAATGAATTATTGTGATGTTAAATAGACAATGCTAGCTATCAAGGAGCGACGTTGTTTTTCATTGGGACCTTCGTCCCTTCAAGGCTAGGCCTATACCATCCATCCTAGCTAGTCTAGGCCTAGTACGTTGGTACGTGTTGGTTAGTCTACAAACGTCGCCTAAAGTAATTGATTTTACCCGGCAGAACGAAAGAAGGAAACTCCGCTTTTCAGTCGTCTTAGGCCCTTATTTTTTGACAAACAATGAAGTATCTAACAACAACCCTTCAATTTTTGGTATATTTTTGTTTATTAGAAAAATATAAATAAATAAATTAAATAAATCAAAAAAGAAAGATTGATTTAAAGTTCCATAATTTGGTTCCCCTGAATTGACATATCTTTCGACCAAACTGTTGCTTCTGGACAGGAAGTTTCATATTGCACCTAGTACTTCCTGTATATAAACTGTCTTGCCAAAGAAGGAAGTTTGTTTCACATTTTGGCACCATCAAATTAAATTTAAGGTCGACCTTAATAGTTTGGTAGTGTATACCCATCTTTCTTTTTTGACATAATGCCAGAAATAAATGTAAGAATATATATTTTTTTATTGCAGAAATATTTTCATTAAAAATGTTGACTGAGGAGATCCAATTGGCTAAGGGTGTGTGGATAATGTTCATGAGGGAACCTCCCACCCATAGGAAGATTTTTACAGTGCATCCTATTTTTTTACAAGTATGACTTAAAAAAAATATTAGGCCTATGAAATCGGCCCAAATTCACAAGAGATTATATAGGCCTACAGGCCCTGTGTAAATAACATAGACCATTTTCGCAAAATTTGAAATGAAAATTTCCGATGACCTGGCAACTACTACTGGGAGACTTTCAGAGGCCTAGCATTTTGCTCTACATAGTTAACATCATGGATTAAATCAATGATAAAACTAAATTACTAATGAGCACAAATATTTTAAAATGGAAAAAACATGAAGTGTTTATATTAAAAACAAGCCTGTCTTAAAAAGCTATTTCATTGTTTACATATACAGTAATTACAGTACCGTAATTAATATGATCGTATCTGTTGTCTACTGCTGCTAGCGGCGCTATCTACTTCTCAGTGCTCTACTCGTAATTAGCCTGCTGCTCAGGCGCTGCTGGAAGTCCCTAGTGAGTTTCGAGACGTTGGCGGCGCTGTTTCACATTAAATCCGATAAAATGGTCTATAGGTAAGGTAAAGGTCGAAACCTGAAGATCAGGGCTCAAGGCCGGAGGGCATTTATAG